CGGCCAGGACGAGGACGGGTGCCAGGGCCCAGGCGCTGCCTGCCCCGAACCCGCCGTGGCACCACGGGCTGCGCCCGCCCCATCCCCTGCCCGTATGCTCCGGAGGAGCAGGAGATCGAGCAGGAACGTGCTAAGGAGCAGGAGCAGGAGCAGGAGAAGAAGAAAAGAATGAGGGGGCCCTGTGGCGCACAAATAAATACAAACAAATAACAGGATTCCCTATATTGCCCTATATTTTCTGGGTTTCTGTCTTCCCCCCACTTCCAATATTTTCCCATATTTCCTCGGGAATCGACGATCAATTGTGTCTGGGCAGAGTGCGGGGCTGGGCGCCGGGCGGAGCCCCAGAGGACGGCTGGCACAGCGTCGGGCCGGACGTCGGGCCAGCCAGCGATCAAGACGTCGAGGGGGACCGCCCCTCTCCGCTCGGCGGCCAAAGGCGCGGTCCCCAGCGCAGGAAGAGGTGGAGCTCCTGGGGTGGCGCGCCTCGGGCGTGCCCACACGCGCAGCTGCGCCTCCGACTCGCACACCTGCACTGCGGCCGCCCCGAAGGGCGGAGTCTCCACCAGCTCGGCGCCCGCCGTCGCCGCAGTGGCCTCCCGCTCCGCCGCCGCCTCCCCGGGGGGCGACGGGAGGAATGCGCGTTTGCAGCCGCAGGCCCGACGGCAGGCCGCTTGAGGGTGGACCGTGCCAGCGCAACGCAGCCGGCTGCTCGGCCACCGCCACCACCGCCAGCCCAGTGGCGGGGGCGCGCAGATGGGAGCGACCTGCCAAGGGGGACGCCCCATCGTCTGGCGCAGCTCCACCGCCCCCCCGCGCACCGCACAGCGTCTGCAACCTCCATGGCACCACGGTGCGTGAACCGGATGGCCTAGTCCGTAGCTCCGCGCGCAACCGCCCATGCCTCAAGCCAAAAACAGTCGTTACCTTCTGCCTTCGCGGAAACACCGCGGCTGGCGCCGCCGCCACGCAGCATGGCCACACTGGCTGCTCCGACCAACCTAAGCTGGAGAGCCGGCGCCACCACCGCCAACCGATCCAGAGGCGACGCCGTTTTACTAGCGAGGTGCGCCACGAACTGGCGTCAGGCAGCTCCGCCTGCAGCGGCGCGATCGCCTGGCCACGAGTTCCCGCTCCACGCCAGGCCGCGGGGTTGCCCCTGGAAGGTGCCCTCGTGAGGCCACCGTACCGAAAGGTCCCAGGGTCCGCGTCTACCCCAAGTGCCACCGCTGTGCCGACCCCGCTCGAGGCGAGCTAAGGGTGGAGGAGCACAAGGCGAAAGCACCCGAGCCGAATGGTGTGAAAACCCTGGGCCCAAATGGCCACAGAAGGATCAGGAGAACGCAGAGAACAACGGCGAGGAGGTGCAAATTCGGGGACGAGGTTGACGGCGAGGACAAGGGCGAAGACAAGGGCAAGGATGACGCCGATGGCGCCGGTGACGAGGTGGAGACAGAGAACGAGAACGAGAACGACAGAGAGGTCAGGGACGAGAATGAGGACGAGACCGATGGCGACAACGTGAACCATCTTGCTAAGACGTTCCCTGGATGGCCACATCGGGCCGTAGGGGTGCACGACCCGACGAGGGTAATCTTCAAGATGCCAATATCAGAGAAGTCAAGTATTTACCCCACTTCCATAACATCATCATAAGCCAGGGCCATCATGTAGGACGGATTGGAGACAGCGGCCGTTGAATTCGGAGGATCGAAAAGATACGGCAGAGGCGGGGCTGCAGTGGCGCGAGCATGAGATGGGCAAGGGAGGGAGCACTATAAAGCGCAAGGGATGAGGAGACAGCTGGGTGTACGAAAGTCTTGACCACTACGCCACCACTGCCACCCGAATGCACGAACTCTGTCTGCCAGGTTTTCTGGCAGCGTCGGCCTTTCCCCCTCTTCCTTCTCCAGCTTGCCTGGCTGATCCCGCCTGTTGAAGCACTCACGACCATGTTCGGCCTGACACGACAGCGATTGAATACGGTCGGACCGAGGACCGAGGTATAAGATCGAGGTCGGTTCCAGGAGGGCGCCTTAATGTTCATCGTGGTTGCTGGATGTTCTTGGGCATCCTGGGGGAGGGTACCCTCGAATGGTCTTGAGTTTGGGCCAGCGGAGGGTCTCATGTTTCTGGAGGATGTTCTTCTGTCCTAGGTCCGACCGCACACAAAAAAAACTGCACGACATTCACTTTCGGAGGCCCGCGCGGATTTTTCCAATCGTTGGCGGCGCGCTCAAAGGGGGTAAGGTTAGGTCGGGCCTGTCCCCCTACAGGGGGACTTGGGGCGAATAATGAAAAAAATCAAAAAATACCAAAACATGATCAAAAAAACTTCAAAATATCGCGCCCATACTATTTTTTCGAATCTTCCCCCTGTAGAGGGACGGGCCCGACTGAAGGGTAGGGAGAAGCAGCCTCCTTCTGAGAAGCCCTCCCCCTCCCCCCACCCCCCTCTGCGCGCCGCCGGGGTCGGGTCGGAGGCCCAGCGCCGACCCGAGCAGAATCCGCCCAGTGGCCGAAAGCTCCTGCTGACGCCTTCCGGAATCCTTCGAAAGGCAGCGACGACGACGACGACGACGACGACGACGACGACGACGACGACGACGGCGACGGCGACGGCGACGGCGACGGCGACGGCGACGGCGACGGCGACGGCGACGGCGCCGACACCATGTTCTTCGAAAGACGGCGACGACGACGACGACGACGACGACGACGACGACGACGACGACGACGACGACGACGGCGGCAAAGGCGGAAGAAGGGCAGAGGGCAACCCTGCTGAGAATCGAGCAGTCATACACGTCCACATCCTTCATCATCCATCCCCTCCTGTGTTTCCCCTCCCGGGACAGGGGGAGGGGATGAGCAGGGTGGATCGAAGCTCATTTCCTAACCATCCGCGGCAATGCCCGTTACTAGGGACGCCCCTGGACCCTCTTACACCCCCCCTATCACCACGCTCCGCGCCAGCACCGTCTGGGAATAACGACAGCTGCCAGGCGGCTCCGGCGCAGATCGTGACAGGCCCTCGCCTCCTGGCAACGCCAGCCATCGGCAGAGGATAGAAAAAACAGCCACTACACAGCTGTCTTCCTCCGAGGAGGGGCGGGTGGCCGTCTCTTCTGGGCCCCGGCCCGTCCAAGAGCAGCTCGGGAAAAAGGGCTTGCCATGAAGGAAAGGGTCCCGCGGGAAGCAGGTCCTAAACCCCAGGGCTTTCCCCAGGATCAGTGCCCGTGGAGGGCCCCAGGGGCTCAGGGGGGGATGCGTCGACCACTGGCGCGCAAGGAGCCAGGTGAGGGGGCACACTCGCCTCCTGAGCACCCAAAGCCTGCCGCGCCACGGCCCGCGTCTATCCCTCTGTGGGCAAAACGAGCTGCGGGCGCGCGAGACAGGGGGGGGAGGGAGTCCAGCAAGGAAAGGAGGGCTCCTCCTCCTCCTCCGCCTCCTTCTCCTCCTCCTCCGCCTCCTCCTCCTCCTCGAGCGGCACCAGCAGCGAAC